ATGGCGGGGCGGCTCTGTGCTGATGGGGGCGGTGTGGCCGTGGCAGCGTCTGGGATTTTGGAAGCGGACAAACGAGAAGGGTCGAAGAAGGTTCGAATTGTGTCCAAGAGTCCGGTGTACTTGTATGGCATGCGCCCGGTGGGCGCTCCTGGTGAGCCCGACTTGGCACAGTCATCTTTGTATGAGTTCTTGCGTTACTGGCGCATGGAGTTTGCGGCATTTCCCCGCGGCGGAGCAGACATTGCGGCTGCGGCCAGCAATGACTACTAGGCGGAGTTGACGCTGTCTGGGATTCGGAAGGTCCGCGAGGCAGACCAGGGGAGACCGGGCGCTGACGAAGGGGGGGCCGGGCGGGGGCCAAGTTGAAAGCCGGCGTGGATTATGTGATCAAAGAAGGAGGGGGGAGTGATTCGTGGGTTCAGTTTCCGGATGTGCCAGAGATGGGCGCTCTGAGACACGCGTGGGTGCTGGTGCGGAACGAGCGCCCGAGGAACTTCAATTTTCATGGAGCGCCGCGGCCGAAGCTCGGGGCGGGGGGCGAGGCTAGGAATGGACTCTTGTTGATGGTATATTTTCGGGCGTTCGCATTTCGTGACGATGTCGACTGTGGAGTGCCGCGCCTGCGGGATTTCCGCGGATCGCAGGGGTCGTGGGTGGAGGCGTCATTGGAGTGGTTAAAGAAAGGCATGCCATGTGAAGAAACGAGCTTTGCGTGCAGAACTGCATGGGCGTTGTGGACTTGCGGCCAGGCACGGAGGAAGATCTCGTGAAGCACGAGGGCGAGCTGTGCAGCGATGGAGAGCTGGATCCGAGACTTGTCGATGCGGCGACAAGGCGGAAGACGCGCGTGGGAGGTGCGTCCATGGAGAAAGAGGACAGGCGGACAAATGCAGTTGCAGAGTGCGAGAGAGAAAAGTCGGGAGGCCATGGCAAGGGGCGACGCCGTGTGGGGCGAGAGCGCAAGTCGCAAGAACGGAAAGCGCAATATGCGCGGATGGGGCGGCGCGTTGCGGTGGGGCGACGCGGCAGTTAAGAGAGCGCAAGCGGTGGCCGCGGCGTCGGGGGCCGCAGGGGGCAGCGGCGCAGGTGGAACGGAGGGTGCTCCAGAGGTGGTGGCGGCGACAAAAGCAACGGTCTCGAGTGTGCGGAAGTGGAGAAACGGGCTCCTGGAGAGCGGGTTGAACGCGGGGCAGCGTAGCGTCGTCGAGAAGGTGGCAGATCGAGTGTTGGCGCAAGAGTTCGCTGGTTCCACGAGGTGCAAGACATCGGGCCAGAGTCGTTCTGACATGGGGCCCGTCGTGTGGGTGTTACGTGGCGGCCCAGGGGCAGGGGGGAGTTTCGTGATGGACAAGATCCGGAAGGAGCTATTCGAGAAAGAGCTTGGGTGGACGCGCGGCATCGATTTCCAGGTCGCAGCGTTGCAGGCTACAAACGCCGCAGCGCTCGACGGGGACACAATCCACAGTGCTTTGGGGCTTGGTGCGAACAAAACGAAAGAGTCGAATGCGGCGAGCGATGTGAGCGCAGGCGCGAAAAAGATAAGGAAGAGAAAACCGCGCAGCGTATGTCATTGTGGAAATGGCTGATAGTGGACGAGGTGAGCACGGTCAGCGCGAACTTCATTGCAGAGCTGGGCTCGCGCTTGCGGTCGTGCATGTCAGCTGCAAGTGGCGCGAAGATAAGTGGGGGCGGCGTGGCCAGGCCCTTCGGGGGCGTGGATGTGTTGTTCTACGGTTGGAACCCCCGTCGGGGACAGCCGTAAATGCGCTTCCCACGTCGTGTCTGAAAAACGAAAGGAAGTGCGCGCCGGGTGCCTCGGAGGATCACAGGCAGTATATATGTTGGGGCGTTGGGGGCGAAGGGGGAGTGCAGGGAATGACAGAGTTGGCGGAGTGCAAGCGCGCGGGGGGCCAAGGCGACTGGTTTCTCGCAGTGCAGGGGCAGTTCCGCCGAGGAGCGTTGTCTGAACGCGCGCGCATTTTTTTTGCATGGCAGGCCGACGGGTGCGCCGGGGCCGTGGGTGAACGGTGCGCCGTTGTGCGGGAACGGCCATTGCGTAACAGGCGCAGAGGCGCTTGCGAAGCAGAACGAGCTGGAGTGTGAGAAACGCAAAGTTGAACGTGAGAAGAGAAAGCTCGTCGCGACGTCGCCAGAAGACGCTCGATATCGGAAGGGAGAATTTATTGAATCCGTCGCCATTTATGCGAATCAGAACATTCGGTGCCACGTCGGAAAGCAGAGAGCTATGCAGTGGGCCAAGGGGCGAGGGGAACAGCTGCTGCGGTTTGCAGCCACGGGCCGCGCTCGCCACGGGGGGGAACAGAGGCGGCCTTGCAGCGTTGGCTGGGGTACCACGAGAAGGAGTGCGCAAGCTTGCCCGGGTGGCTGCCGCTGGCCAATGGACTGCCCGTGGCTTTGGGAGATCACTTGGATCGGTCGAAGAAACAGCTTCTGAGGGGGCGCGCAGCGACGATCCGTGGATGGGTGTTGCACGAGAACGAGGTCGTCTTGGGAGATGAAGAAGAGGAATAATTGTTGCGTCTACCGAAGGTGATTGTGTTGGACTTCCACGCGAAAGAGTGGCACCTGCCAGGTTGGGGGCCAGGCCTGTATCCGATCTTCCCATCGAAAGGGCGAAATTGGTTCTTGGACGGGGATCGGAAGCAGTCTGCGTTGAGTGTGAAGCGCGCCCAGTTTATGATAACCCCGGCTTTGGCGGTAACGGAAGACGCTCCAAGAGGGGCCCGCGACGCCCACAGGGCGCTCCAAGACGCACAGGCCGCTCCGAGACGCACAAGATGGCCCCCAAGACACCCCGAGAGGCCTCCCAGACGCCCCGAGAAGCTCCCACCCAGGAGGGCGCCAAGAGGCAAAATTCGCTCCATTCCCTGAGGGAAGCGTTTGCTTTTCGCATATGTACCTCTTTGGTTTTCACAGCATCCAAGACGGCCCAAGAGGCCTCCAAGACTGCCCCGCAGGCCCACGGGCTCCCAAGGGGCTCCAAGACGACCCGAGAGGGTCCCAAGACGGCCCGAGAGGCCCCCGAGACCGCCCAAGAGAGCCCGAGGACATGCTCCAGAGGGGTCCCATAGGTGGACAACCATATTCACATTCCGAGCTTTCGGCCCCGGAGGCTCCCAGGAGGCCCCAAGAGTTCCCCAGGAGGCCCCAAGAGGCTCCCAAGATGCCCCAATATGCCCCCAAGAGACCCCCAGGAGGCTCTCAAGAGGCTTCCAGGAGGCCCCCCCGGAGGATCCCAAGAGGTTCCCAAACTGCCTCGAAGACGCCGTTGAGAGTCCGATATATGAAAGAGCGTGTTCTACCGCTGCTGGCGGAAAACCGGGGGGGTCACTACCGGTTCCGACCCCCCCCCCTCTGGAAAACCGGAGGGGGTGTCGCTACCCGTTCGAACTCCTCCCCCCCCCCTCCCAGTTCATCATGAAAAGGGGGGGGGGGGGGTCGCTGCCGGTTCGAACCCCCCCCCCTCGAGCTCGAAAACCGGGGGGGGTCACTGCCGGTTCGACCCCCCCCCCCCCCCTCGAAAACCGAGGGGGGGTGCGGGCAGTGGTGGGGGCGGTGGTGGTGGGGACAGTGGTGAGGGGACAGCGGGACAGTGGTGGGGACAGTGGGACAGTGGTGGGGACGGTAGTGGTGGGGACAATGGTGAGGACAATGGTGGGAACAGTGGGGACAGTGGGACAGTGGTGGGGACGGTGGTGGTGGGGACAGTGGTGTGGGGACAGTGGGAATGTGGTGGAAACAGTAGGACAGTGGAGGGTACAGTGGTGGTGGGGACAGTGGTGAAGGCGGTGGCGAGGACGGCGGTGGGACAATGGGACAGAGGTACAGTGGGGACAGTGGTAGGGACAGTGGGGACAGTGGTGGGAACAGTGGGACAGCTCAGTGGTTCGAACCGGTAGTGACCCCCCCCTCCGGTTTTCGAGGGGGGGGGGGGGTTCGAACCGGTAGTGGCCCCCCCGGTCTTCGAGTTCGAGGGGGGGTGGGGGGGTGGGGGGGGGGGGGGGGGGTACCGGGGGAAGGGAAAGGGGGGGGGGGTCCAGCAGAGGGGGGGGGGATTTTCGGAGGAAGGGGGGGGGCGTTAGCAAACTCATCCGTTACTATGTTGTTGGCTTGCAGCTTGGCAATGTATCCTGCCCGAAGGCCAACGATGTGATCAATTACTATTTTGTTGCGGCGCTCTGTGTGCCAATTGAGCTACAGACGACACATGTAGAACATATGGAATGTAAGGACGAAGGGCCCTTGGAAGTCGCAGCCCCAGGGGGGTGTCCTGAGAGGCCGATCAACGAAAAAGGCGAAGGAGAAGCTCCAAAGACAAGGGCGCAAGGGTACCATCGAGAGAACTAATCGTCCTTAGTAAGACACTCGATTGCAATAGCGTGTGTCAGGCCGTCGCTATCAGGCGTCGCTTCCCCTTGGAGATTTCCCATGTGAGCCGCCTGTGATTGATTAAAAACCCACGTACCTTTGATGTTCACTTGACGTCGACACCGTGTTGACACACGAGCAAGTGCCGTCAACGGCGCCAAAACATACCAGACATGGTAAACAACACCTATGGCGGTTTAGTGGATCAGGCGGCTCAAACGGAAACAACTCAAAGAAAAGTTTGGCAAACGAGCCCAGGCCAATTGCAAGCGGCAGGTTAGGATTTCGGGGGCGGGACGAAAGGTTTTCCCAATAGAGTCTGCGAGCGGAACGAACCAGTCCAAACGAGTCCTGCCCTGGCGCGCGTCGAACGCACCGTGCACACAACAAAAAAGCGATCATGCAGCTGACCCTGCTGCCGCGCGCTGGAAGCGGCCGCAGAGTCTGCAGCGGCCGCACGAAGCATCCCGAGCAAGGCCTGCCCACGAGCGCATCGCGCAAACTCTGCAGGCGCAAGCGACGAAGATGACCCCACAACGGCGGTTGTCTCGTGGCCGCGACCATGACAGCCAGGCAACGGGCTCCCCATCGCGCCTGGGCCGACAATCAGATCACGCACCGCCGTGAGCCGCCTCGGAGACGACCGCGTCGCCCTCATTCCAGCGGCCTGCCATCGACGGCTCCTGCGTATCAGGCGGCCCACCGCCTGGCTCGCAGCCGAATTGCTCCTCCTGTGCGATTAACTGCCCGCTGCCCTCGGGCGCGCCGCTGGCTGCCGCGGCGCCGAGCATCCCGCCGCCTTGTCCGTGTCCGCGCTGCTCCTCCTGGGCGCAGGGCGGCCCGCCGCCCTGGTGCGCGCCGCTGGCCGCCGCGGACGCGTCGATATCCAACAGCTTCTCCATATCCTGGGTCAGGTGGCACACCTTCGCCTTCTTCTGGGCCGTCTCAGCCTCGTCCTCATCGCTCGAGCGGCTGCGTTTCGACGCAGCCGCGAACGCCTTGATCGTCTCGCCACCCGCTGCCTTCAAGGCGATGCGGACACCGTGCGTCTCCCAGACGTGGCCGGCCACCGAGTCGAACAGTCCCGCGATGTCGGGCATTGAAGGCATGGCCACGTACATGCCGTCGAACACCAAGCTCAAGACGCACGCTTGCAGCCCCTTGGCAGCAGCAGCCATGCTCTCGAGAATCTCGTCTTCCTTCGTCTGAAGGTACAGCGCCAGCGCCGAGGACCCTGGATGCGCCTTCTGCAACACCTTCTCCATGGATGCAGCCTTGCGGTTCCTGGAAGTCCTCGCGTCGCTAGCGGCCCGTGCCGCCGCGGCGGGGCTCGCCGCGGGGAAGCAGCGAAACCTGAAGCCACGCGCGGTCGGGCAAGCCAGCGGCAACGTCGAATTCCAAGACCTCGCCTTCTTGTAATTGTCACACTCGGCCGCGAGGGTCTCCTGGCCACGCCTGAAAGCGCTCCTCAACTCCATCAGGCACGGCAGCATGTCGTCGGAGCGATCGCCTTCCCAGGATGCATCAGGCTGAATGCTGCCCTTGAACGGCAGCCGCGAGAAGATCGCCTTGGCCTGGGGCACGTCGATGTTATAGTACTGGGCAACGTCGGAGCGCCACTCTTTGGATTTGTCCGCGTACATCTTGACGATCCCAAAGTCACGCTCAATGGCGCCATCCGGAACGTGTGGCCGCAGCGCCTGCAGGAGTATCTGGTAGAACGCCGCAATCATGTCGAATTCGCCCACGGCGAGGCCCTCGAACGCGACGACTCGCGTCTCTCGGGTGCAAGACTGAAGCCCTGGGCCTGACTCGTGCGCGCGGCCGATCTCGTCGAGCTGGTAATACTCGCGCCGAAGGACGCGGATGTCTGGGCACCCTGGCTCGGAGGTCGGGCGGAGAAAGCCGTCCTTCATGGTGCAGGCCTGGCCCGCCTCGTTCAGGAGATCCACGTGCGCGGACAACCCCTCCTGGCGACGCTCGCCCGTGACGGCAGCCCCAGCGTCGCGCCGGGCCCGCAGCGCGGTCAAGTTGGCTGCCTCGCAGACGGTGTAGCGGCACATTCGGGTCGGCACTTCAGCTTCGGCGGGCTTGGCGAGCGCGTCCTCGGCGGGGGCGAAAGCGTCGAGGGACAGGTTGTACGTGTACTCCGCGAGGTCGCCGAACGTGGCGGTGTCCGAGAAAAACTGGTTGTACAGCGACGTGTCGAAGGGGAGTGCGGTCACGCACGCCTGCATTCTCTGCTTGCGTGACTTCGCGGCCCCGATCTGGGCGAGATTGGCCCCGAGGCGACCTTGCGCGCGGACGTGGCCCAGGAGGACAGCCCACCGCTTCGTCTTGGGGGCGGCTAGTGGCAGATCGCACCTGGTCTGATCCACCTGGCACTGCAGGAGGGCGCGGGTCCTTGACGCGTAGAGGCGAGCGTGGATGTCCTGGACGAGCGCGAATGACTCCCCGTTCACCTCGCCCTCGTGAGCGCCGTCGCCGTCCACCCTGCTCCACTCGGTCATCCACGCCTCGAGCCAGTGCGCCGTCGTCTTCGTCCCTGTCGCCGCCAGCTCGTGCAGTGAGAGGCCTCCGCCCGAAGACGCAGATGACCTGATGGTGAGGAGGTTGAGCAAGTGGCCAATCGCGAACTCGGGCCTGCCGATCTCTGCCTCGAGCCCGTGGTCCTTAAGGAAAGAACGCGGCGACGTGGGGGCGTCGAAGGAGTCGCGAAACTTATTCGGCATATACATCGGCAGCAGGCGGTCGCGCTCCGAGCCCTTGGGGACCTGCTCCCACGATGGGATATCGTTGCACGCGAAAATGTAAGTGCACATGGGCTTCATCTTCTCGGTTTCGCCTGAGTTGCAAGCGCGGGCGGTGATGGGATCGGTAGAGTTCCTGCTCTTGAAGACAGCGTTGCTCCAAGCCGCGGAATGCACCTCGTTGCCGAAGGCTACGCGAAATCCTCGACGAAAGGCGTCCGCCGCCTTGTGCTCGTGCTCGGAGCGCTTGTCCGCAGTGAAGACTGTGGCTCGGACAGGAACGTAATACTCCCCCCAGGCAGCCTGGAATATCTTTTCGCAGATGCCCTTGCCATTGCGGCCCCGCCTAGACCACAGCAGCGCGCACTTGCAGAGCGGCGTGCCTTCGAGAAGGCGCGCCTGCAGATGCATCATGTGCTGGAAGTTCTCCGCGTCTGCGTCCCCGAGCTCCTCCGCGCAATCGTCGGGGTGATGGTCGCCCTCGCGCTTATATAGCGACCGCAAGATCGACCATGACCTCTGGCGGTCGCTGGCCGACTCGGATTCCACGAGGTCGGAATTCTGCAGCCACCTGTTGCCGAACGCGACTACCCTGCACCAGTGCCTTGAAACACGCGTTCGCCTTCTCTGTTTCACACAATTATTCCCCGTTTGAACCGCCCGAACCTGTCGAAAACCCATTGTCTTTTATACATTTCCTAAACGCACCGTCGCGACGACAACGTCTACGGGCGCGCCAGCAAGGGCGCAACTTCATGAAACAATGCAAAAACCCATGGTTTTTCAACGATACGGGCGGTTCAAACGGGAAAAACGCTGCGTTTACCCACACCCATCCGCGCATCGTCCCCCCTCTTCCTTTACGTTCACGGCCGCCCGCCTTTGAGGCACGCGAATCGGGCTGCGCAGGGAAGTCATGTCTGTCGGGCGGCCTGGACGGATGGTGTTCGAGCGGAGGTCCACCACGCAATTGCTGAGCTGAAAGAGGTACGGGTCCAAGTCGAACGCGGCCTCCCCGTCGAACAGCATGGCAGATTCTCTGATGTTCTTCTCCACGCCTTGCTGGCACTCCAGCGCCGCCGCCGCCTTGTCCAGAAACTGCTGCTTGGGGTGGGGGTTGCCATCCTCGCCATCCCCAAAGCATTTCTCTGCGCGACAGCGCCTGGCAACCTCCTGGACCACGGGAAGGAACCTCGCCTGGAAGATCGCCTTGACCCTCGTCAGCGATCGCTTGACAACGCGCCGCGTCTGGTCCCACACCCACCAGTCGTCATCGCGGCTGCAGTACATGATCGGGCATTGGTCCCTTTGGAAGAACAAGTAGGCGAGCTGCGCCTGCAACAGCTGCGACAAATTGTGGTAGTCTGGCAACTCCTTGTAATATACATACAGGAGGCTGGTCTTTGGGGCGTTTGCGTGCTGGGCAAGGAACTCGTCGAGGCGGCCAGTCAGGGACGCATTCGTCGTTCGGGCTGCGGCAGCCACGATGCGACTCCACTCGGCCCGCGGCGGCTCCGGCGGCAACATCTGCGACATGGCGGTGGCCTGGCAATGTATTTGGATATTCGGGTATTCGGGTATTCGGGTATTCGGATATTCGGGAATTCGGGTATTCGGGTATTCGGGTATTCGGGGATTCGAGTATTCGGGTATTCGGGTATTCGGGTATTCCGGGTTTCGGTATTCGGGTATTCGGGTATTCGGGTATTCGGGTATTCGGGTATTCGGGTATTCGGGTATTCGGGTATTCGGGATTCGGGTATTCGGGTATTCGGGTATTCGGGTATTCGGGTATTCGGGTATTCGGGTATTCGGGTATTCGGGTATTCGGGTATTTGCGCGTCCACTCCACCTCCTCCAATGTCCGACTGCCCGAATACCCGAATACCCCCGAATACCCGAATACCCGAATACCTGAATACCCGAATACCCGAATACCCGAATACCCGATTACCCGAATACCCGAATACCCGAATACCCGAATGATACCCGAATACCCGAATACCCGAGTATCCGAACACCCGAATACCCGAATACCCGAATACCCGATACCTGAATACCCGAATTCTCGAATACCCGAATACCCGAATACCCGAATACCCGAACACCCGAATACCCGAATACCCGAATACCCGAATACCCGAATACCCGAATACCCGAATACCCGAATATCCGAATACCTGAATTCCCGAATACACGAATACACGATACCTGAATACCCGAATACCCGAATACCCGAATACCCGAATACCCGAATACCCGAATACCCGAGGAAGGGGGATGGCAGGGAAGCGTCCGAACCTCCAAGCTCAGGCGTTGGCGATTGTCACGCCCGGGCCGTGGCGGGGCAGTGGTCCGCGCCCGCGAGGTAGGTTCTCTCGAGCCTTAAACCGCTGTGGCACGGCTCGGGCAGACAGCGGCGCTGCCGTCGCCCCGTTCCTTGTCTCGCCCTGCACGGCGGGGGGGGGGAGAGGGGGGGCGAGAAAATTCAATGTTTCGCGATCGATTAATAGATAGCCGAATGGCAGTCTCGAGTCTCGACCCCGGCGTGCTTTCACTGGAGCACGCGCGGGCGCTTGTAGCCGAAGACTGTGGACATCTTCACGTTCTGGCGGCTGGGCGCGTCGTTGATCCCCTCCCACGTGATCCCCTGGCACTGAGACAACGAGAGCTCCTCGCGCATGTGGCGCTTCACCTGCAGGAGACCGCAACGAACGGTGCCCCCTACCCCTCCCGCCCTGCCCCTTCCGACGACCGACCCCATTGGGCCCGCGTCGCCATCTGCACCGTCGACGACAGCTGCGCCGCGAGGCAGTCGACGAGGACAGCTCCGTCGTTCGCGTTGGAGATCATCAGGAAAACCTCATCGAGCTCGGGGATCGCGTCGGGCAGCTCGACATCCACGGCGATCGGGTCGACGCGCTGCGGGATCACGCGCGGGCGTTTGTAGCCGAAGACGGTTGAAATCTTCACGTGCTGGCGGCTGGGTGCATCGTTGATCCCCTCCCACGAGATCGCCTGGTACTCTGGCGCCGTCAGCTCCTGGCGCATCTGGCGCTTCACCTGCGGGAGAACGCAAGCGAAACCAGTGGCAGCCCGCGTGCCCAAATTCCCCAATGCCCGAATGCCAGGGTAACCGCGTGCCCGAATGCCCGAATACCCGAATGCCCGAACTCCCCATTCCCGAGGCTTGGGGTGCCAGGGAGCGGCCGAACCTCGAGGCTCGAGCGATGGCGATTACTGCCCCCCGTCGCCATCTGCACCGTCGACGACAGCGGCACCGCCAGGCAGTCGACGAGAACAGCTCTGGTGTTCGCATTAGAGATCTTCAAGAAGGCTTCATCGCGCTCGACGTCTGCGAAGAGCAGCTCGACGTCCACGGCGATCGCGTCGACGCACCGCGTGAGCACGCGCGGCATTCGGAAGTCCACTGGCAGCCGCGTCACGACGCCTGGGGCTGGCGGCAGCGCAGCGTTAAAGCGCCAGAACTTCTTGTGGTAGCGCACCCCCAGGGTGATCCAGATCTCGCTCTCGCCCTCTGCGATGCGCATAGCCTGCTTCTTACCGAGGAGGCGCCACGCCGCTGCATCGAAACCGGCATGATCTCCGCGGTCGACAAATGCGAACTCCATCGCTGGGGGGGCCGCTGCCTGCGAGGTAGAGGCTGAGGGTGGTGGTCTGTTCGAGCGCTTGAGCCGCGACGCCTGCTCTTGCCGCAGCACGTGCGCGGCAACGAAACTATCGTTTTCACACCACGATTTCCCGTTTGAGCCGTCCGAACCCTTCAAAAACATTTGCGTTTGGGTACATTTCCAAATCGCACGGTGGTCCGACGACGTCCGCGGAAACCAGAGAAAGACATCCACATTTCAAAAGTGCAAAAAAACCAATGGTTCTACCTAGTTTGGGCGCCTCAAACGGAGAAAACCCTGCTCTTTTTGACCGCCGAACTACCCCGACGCCAGGCGCTCCGCAACGCGAGCTATTCACCCCGAAATCTAACCCGAGACCCTGCGCTCTGGCGCGAAGCGCTGACGTCCCCGCAATGCATCGATCGCGGCTGCCTCAGCGTCTCCTCGATGCGCCGCATGATGGCCGCGCTGTCCTTCCTGGTCTTCGTCGTCGCCCTCTTCGCGCGCCTGAGCGGGAAGTTCGCCCTGCTGGAGACCCGGGTCTTGCCCCGCACGCGGCCCGCGAGCTTGATGGTCCCGCGGTCGGGGCGTCTGTGCAAGTCCATGTTCAGCTGCCTCTGCCACGCCTCGCAGCGGAGGGTCGCGCGGGCTGCCCGCTCCTCGGCCGCCGCCGCTGGCGCGCGCGCCCGAGGCGCGTGCGCTTCGCCCGATTCACCCTCTGCTCTGCCACCGCCGCCACGTCGTCGGAGGCCGTCGCCTCATCTTCGAGGGCCGCGCCCGCCGCGGCGACGCCCCGCCTGAGCGCGCCCGCGACTATGAGGCCAGAGAGGATGCATATGATCCGCCTGTCTGTCAGCTTCTGGAGCGAGGGGTCCCCGAGGTTCTTGTATGCGTTGGTGAGCATGCGGTGCAACCCGTGCACCTCCTGCACGACCTCGAGCCGCTCGAGGTGCTGCTGGTGCACGCACTGGGTCCAGCGCTTAAGGAGGCGATGTTCGGCCTCGTTGCCCAGGGTGCCGCTCGTGACGTGAACTCCCCCAGCCATGGCCCTGATCGGCGAATTTTTCATGAGATATCCGAAGTGGCCGCGCCGCGCCCCGCACTGGACCACGTGAAGCGCCGTGACCCCCTTGAGGTTCTTCCTCGCCATCTCGTCCGGGCATGTTTCCGCGATCCTTTTAAGCTCTGCGACATGCTCGGCGTGGGCCTGGAAAGGCTCCCCCATGAAATCTGCATCTTCCCTATCGCCCCGTGGCCCAGCTGCCGCTACGTCGCCCCAGATGTCCGCGCCGCCGCTGCTGCCGTGGTAGAGGTCGCCGGCGGTCGGCGCACCAGGGGCCGCGATCAGGAACTTCTTCTGGATCGCCATGATCGCACGAGAGCTGGAATTTCGCTTCTGCCCAAAGCAATGCTCCACGCGGAAGACCAGGTGCATGGCGTCCTCGGCACAGGCGAGGCCGTTGGGCAGAGCCTCCAGGAATCCCTCGCTGGGCGAGTCGGTGAAGAGGAATCGCACCTGGCCGATCATCTCGTCCGTAAACCGGTGGCGCAGTGCCGCCTTGAACGACTCGATCCCCTCCTTCGGCTGGAGGCTGAAGCCTGGGCAAGCGCCCGTGATGCCGATGAACGTGCGAGCAGTGTGGCGCTCGCCGTCGCGCTGCGCCATGCGCGCCTGCCCGATGATGGAGAAGGTCATCTTGAAAGTCGCGTCGTGCGCTATCGCCACCCACTCGCCCCGCTCTGTCGCGGCAGCTTGCAGGCGGCGGAGCGCATGCTGGACAACGCCGCCAGGGTTCTTGAACATGACAATCACGCGCTCCTTCACCGTCACCTGCATCGTCGGAAACAATAGCGGCGCGCCCTCTGCGTCCTCGGCCCACCTGGCTAGCATCTCGTCCACCATGGCGCCGACGTGGCCCCTGCATCGGAGCGCAAGGCTAATGGCGGCGTCTTCGAAGTCGCGGGAGTAGTAGACCTTTTCTGTCGCGCGGGTTGCGTCGGCCGTCCTGCACTTTAACCAGTACTCGGGGCCAGGCCGCGTAGGACCATGATGATGGGGACCTGGTTGTTACGTTTCAGCACCTCCAACTCGGCGGGCGGAGCACCTCGGTTCCATCCCCGAATCATGGCAGCGCTCTTCTCTAGGAGATCATCGGCGGCGCTGCCTGGCCAGCATGTGCTCTGGGCCAGACGATGGCGGTGCAACGCCTTCGCGACGTTGAGCTGCGGGTAAGTCTTGGTGCGGAGGCCGTGCGCCGCTGCTGTGAAGAATGGAGCCGTGTGGTACTTCATGTGCTCTACCAGCTGCGCCCTGCGCTTGAAGGATCGGAATGGGCACAACTTGCACGTCTGCTCGACGACGCCGCCAGCGCCGCTGGCCGCTCGTTCACGCAAGGCGTCGTTGTAATTGCCCACCTCGGCGGCCAGCGAGGCCGCGAAGGGTCCAGCGGCGTCGTCGCCGACGCCCGCCATCCGCGGAGCAGCCCGCGGCGAGGCCGCCGAAGTCTCGAGCCAGCGGGCTGCGCGAAACGCGAAGACGGCAATTGGGGGAGCATTGCGAGAGACGGAACTGCAGGAGAACAGCTCGGGCACGCGGGAGGAGTCGACGACGACTGAGAGGTTTTTGGAAATTACAATTTGAGCCAACGCATTAGAATAACCTGAGCCATGAGCCCCGCTGTGGGAAAGGTAACATTTAGTAACTAACCGTTGTGCCGCTTGCAATTGGCGTTGCGTGCGTTTGCCGCCCCCGCCCCGCCCCGCCCCGCCCTCTGCCCGACCCGACCGTCGTTTCTCTCTCTGCCGCGAGCGCCCCCTCGCTCCGGCTTCTAGGTCGCCTGCCGGTGCGCCAGAACCACGCCGACCGCCTGGAAGGCGTCTGGTGGCTTCGGCCTCAAGCGCAAG